AACCCAAAGAGGGGTCGCTATGAGTTGGATCCAACTGGACAGCACATAACAACAACAAACAACAGAAGGCTGGCAGTTCAAATCCACCAGCCACTCCTCAGAAGGAAGATTGGGATTGGGCAATCTACTTCCATAGTGATACCACCTCAGAAACCCAAGGAGTTTCCCTTTTCCTTCCTCATTTCCACAAACATTAAAATATTCCATATCAATGAGGCATAGGCATGGAACTAGCAGAATAGATTCCAATTTTAACTCCATTGAAACCCTTTATTAAACTAAAAACAACAAAAGAAACCCACTGTCATCGAGTCAATTCTGACTCATAGTGACCCCCATTGGGTTTCCAAGTTGGTAAATCTTTGTGGAAGTAGATTACCTCATCTTCATTCCATGGAGCAGCTGGTGGGTTTGAACTGCCAGCCTTCTGGCTAGCAGTCAAATGCCTTAGGCACTGAGCCACCAGAGCTCCCTTATTAAACTAATAATGGCTTATTTAGATTGGGGGTATCGTCTATGGGAAGTGGGCCTAAGGAAGGCAGGAGAGAATGCTGGGTTGCTCAGGACAGTGGCTCTTTACCAACCAGTACATAAGCACTTCAATATTTAACAGCAATATTGCCATCCTGGTGTGTAAGGAATATCAAGTGTCCTTGCGAGAAGCTCAAATGCCAGTCTTTATAAAGATGATTAAACATCCTTCTCATTTTTGCCTCCTCCACACCATCCCTCTGCCTCACTTCTGGTCCCCTGGGTATCCATATCTCCTGTCCTGAGCTATTCTAAAGGTCTTTAGAGTGAATTGGTTCATTTGTCATCAGAATTCATTCCTCTTGAAACGGCTTAGGTTTAACCCTCCTCTGCTTTGGTAAGACCTTTACAATTACTTCCTATGATTCTATTTTAAACGATGGATCAGGGTTATAAATCATTTTAAAAGGAGTTTGCCTTTCTTTCTTTTCCTCTTTCCTTTCTCCCTCCCCCTCTCCTTCCTCTGTCCTTTTCTTTTCACCTTTCCTTTCTACTTTTCTTCATTTTTATTTTTAGTTGTTTTCTTTGCTGTTTACAAGGGATTTTATAGAGAAAATGACATAGAATCTAGAATATTTTTTTTTTCAAAACATCATGGATGATTTCACTCCTCTAATTGAAATGTATCCAATGTCTTCCTATTTCTATTAAAATAAACACCAAACTCCTTCCCCATGTCTGCAAGACTTCTACCATGCTTCCTAAGTTCATTTTACATCATTCTCCTTTATAGCAGACACAAAGGCTTTTCATTTTCTAGGAGGACTAGTTTTGCTCTTTTCTGTTTTGCAAGTGTCCCATATGGTTTTCCTTTTGTCCATGATTATCTTTTTTCTCATCTACTACCACCACCACCCCAAATACCAGCACCTCATTTGTCTGTATGATTCCTCTGCATTATTATTTTTTTTTCTCTTACCTTAACGGATCCTTTCTAAGAAAACCTTCCTTGATCCCCCCAGACAATTCAAGTCCTCTTACCTATCCTTTCATAACAGCCTCAATGTACTTTTATTCACACTTATCAAAATCTGACCTTATTTCACTGTTTAAAAATTCCCTGTTTCTCCACTATTCTGTAATGTCCATAAGGCCAAGGACTGTGTTTAGTATATCTACCTACCATGGTGCATGTCACACAGGAATCCCTCAAAACAGTATTTTCTAATGAATAAATTGGAGGCTGAATGAATTGGATTGTTAGGCTTTTAAGAGTCAGCATAGCTGAATGAAACTGGGCATATATCTCTACTTTTTTGTGCCTTTTGAGTTTCCTCATCTGTTATAATTCCTATCTTACTGTTTTGAGAACTTAGAAATGTAATACACGTAGGAACAAAAGTGCCTGGGAATCTCATTAAATATTCTTATGCCTTTTTGCAGCTGCTCTAGCACCAAATACAGTATCTTGCAAGTTGTTATTGTTGTTGTTGTTATGTGCCGTCGAGTCAGCCCCGACTCATAGCGACCCCTCCTTGGGTTTCCGAGGCAGTATCACTACGGAAGTAGGATTGCCCAACCTTCCTTCCGAGGAGTGGCTGATGGGTTTGAACCGCCAGCCATCTGGTGAGCAGTCAAGTGTCTTAGCCACTATGCTACCAGAGCAAGTAGTAAAGTTCAATTATTTCTTTTCTTTCTTTTTTTTTTTTTATCAATTAATTACCCAAACTTGGCACTGTAGAGAGTTAAAGCAATTTTAGAGTTCAATGAAATAGTAACCAGAGTTGGGTTATCAGCGCCACAAATTTCAGGCTGTATGATCTTATGGGAGTTTTTAATTTTCTCCAAGTTTCAGCATCCTTTTAATAGTATTCTGAAATTTTAAAATAAAATGCCGTGATTTTCTTAAAAGATTTGAGTTTCCTGTCATTGCCTGCATTTTCGAGATCATAATTCAGGCATGATAATGTAAGTTTGTACAAATTTGCTGATGAAAGTGAAGAAAGCATTCTTGTGGAAAGCCTTCTATCACCCCATGAGAGGAAGATGAGTCAATCTACTTCCATAACGCTTTGTGTAGCTTTATTTCATCAAAGTAAATTTAGGAGTAATCTCTGGTAGCATAGTGCCTAAGGCACTTGACTGCTAACCAGAAGGCTGGCCAGTTCAATGCCACTAGCTACTCCTCAGAAGGAAGGTTGGGCAATTACTTCCATAGTGATACTGCCTCGGAAACCCAAGGAGGAGTTGCTATGAGTCAGTCAGGTCTGACTCGAGGGCACATAACAACAATAACAACAATACTTACAAATTTGAGTGAAAAAAAATTTCATCATATCATAGGAACTGTTTGTTTTGGAATGTAGAACAATACATTTTTGTTACCTTTGCAGCAAAGTTAATCATGACTCCTAAATGTTCTTCAATATAATTATTAAGATCATGTGCTAGTATCCTGAGTTCACTGGTGAATATGTTCAACTTTGTTTTCCAAAGCACAAAAAGAGATAAATCACAGTTTGTAATTAAAAGAAATTTGGTTATGGGTTCCTAAACTTTATCATAATATTTTTTCTCTCCTAGGTGATTTCAAAAGGTGTAATCATTCTTCATGGGCAACATACAGTCAAGATCAGTGATCATGGTGAGGTTTATATTTTTAGTGTTGACTTTAATGCAAAGAGAATGTCTTAATTAGGTTGTATTTTACATTTTTTTTTACAAGTCATAGCCTTCATATTTTAGGATTATTTACTGCTGCAAATCACCCTTTGAGAATGTGCAAAGTTATATGAAAAAGCACAATTCAAAAAAATATCAATTAATAAATATTTATTTTGTTAATAATATTCAATGCACTATTATAAGATACAGTCACTGGCCCTTCCCTCTCACTTCCAAGAAAGGTAGTAATTATCTATGTTCAAACAGGAAGAATCAAAAAATGAGACAAAATAAAATTTTGAAGTTTTAAGCATTAAGGAATGTCCAACTATCCCTTTCATTTACAGTTGATGGACAAAGTTGTAAATTTCTCTCAAAAATACTTTATCAATTGTATTTGTTGGGTGAGGGGCTGTCTTGTTCACTCACAATGGGTATGATGGTTAGAAACTTTAATAGAAGGTTTGTGCTGGTTGACAAGGTCAACAATTTTAAAGGCACTTTCTCAGTTTGATCTTTTCTTTCCACAGATATGAAGGGCATATTTTCCATCCCTATAGAAGTTAGCTTGGAGTTGGCTCCCTCTGCAGTTATGCTTGTCTACACTTTACATCCTGAAGGAGAAATGGTTGCTGACAGTACCCAATTCAAAATTGAGGAATGTTTCCAAAATGAGGTAAGGAAAAGAATTCTTTCTCAGATTTGTTCAACTTGTTGGAAAACTAAGCAGAATTTAAACACATGCTGGGTTTACTTAAACTCCCCATTATTCTGAAGGTTGAAGAATGCAAAATAAATGAAACCTAGTATGGTAAAGTTAATAGATTGGATGAGTAAAAAATACCAGAGCTATATGAGCAGCAACTGGGGTCTTAAAATTCTTTCAAGCAGCCATCTAAGATGCAACTATTGGTCTCCTCTCATCTGAAGCAAAGAAGAGTAAAGAAAATCACAGTCATCTGCAAACAATTAGTCCAAGGATATGATGGACCCCAAGATCAGAAGAATTAGATGGTATCCAACTACCAATGTCAATCACTCAGGAAGGTCTCAAAATTGGAGATCTTGAATAGAGTGGAAGGAAAAATATGTAACAAAATTCAAAAACACAAAAAGGACCGGAATTACTGGTTGGATGGAGTCTAGTGGTAACCCCAAGACTACGGCCTCAGGTTACCGTTTGGTAACCCTAGAATTGGACTCACTCCCAAGGATTGGCTCTCAGCACAACAGTAGAAAGACCCATATGCAGAACACCTACCCTAGGGCGATGCACTTATCTACTCTAGGGAGAGGCACCCCTAAGAGCAATCAGCCATGGGGCATCAGAGGGGCAGTATTCACATAGAGGGAAAGCTGGACAGAGAGGAGTGCATAGTTAAGAAGGGTGCAGGGAGTGGGTAGCCACAGGGAAGGGAGGAGAGGAGAATTTGTCATGGTCGGGGTGGTAATCAGGGCATGAAATCAAACGTACACAAACTGTTGAATGTATAACAAATTTTGCTCTGTAAATTTGGACCTAATGCACGGTAAAATTAAAAATCAAAAAATACCAGAGTTGCAGCATCCAGTTAGGATATTTCCCCTGTTTTTCTAAGTTATTGATGCCATTATAAGGGTAAATCACTGAGAACATTCTCCTAAATTGTGTGTGTGTTTGAAGAAAATTAAAGTAGTCTAAAAGATAACTCTTCTCATATGGCCCTCCTCTTGACCTTGTGTCTATTTTCATTTTCAGGTCAACTTAAATTTCTCTAAAGAAAAAAGTTTACCAGGATCCAATATCAGCCTTCATGTTTCAGCTGCCTCAAACTCTCTTTGTGCTGTTTGGGGTGTAGATGAAAGTGTATTGTTACTATGGAATTATAACCAGCTATCAGCACAAAGTGTGAGTGATTAAAACACATTTTATTTACCAACAACCATATGCCTTTATAGGAGTCCTGGTGGCACTGTGATTAAGTAGTCGGTTGCTAGCCAAAATGTCAGCATTGTGAACCCACCAGCAGCTCCACAAGAGAAAGATGTGGCAGTCTGTTTCTGTAAAGATTGTCAGCCTTGAAAACCCTATGGGGCAGTTCTATCCTGTTCTACAGGATCACTACGAGTCAGAATTGGCTCAACATTTGTGGAAAACCTTAAATAAACAGAGATTGGCTAGAGTCCACATGGAATAAAAAATATATTAGGTTAGATATCATGTAAAATGGACTCTATTTACTCTAACTGTACTAAATATTTTAAGGCAAATGTGAGACTGTCAAAAATAAATAACACTAATTGGATATCTACCATTTGACGGGCACTCTAGTGGATATTCTATGTTATTTAATTTTATTCTCATATTAACCCTATAGAATTAATATAGTATTCTCATTTTGACTAATGAATAGTCCTTTGGCTCAGGGAGATTTAGTAACTTAACCAAGGGCATTGTCTGACAATGACCTTGAATGAGTCATCAGAGAGTGTTGTGAAGGCCTTTTATCTGGAAGTTATTGAAATCCAATTGAATCTCAACTATCTTTATTGATTTTAATGTAACTCAGTAATTGCTTAACTGATTAAATAATATTTCAAAGTGTTTAGAGCTCTGTATACTTTTCTAGTAACTATTTATTTGTTATAGATATGATGACCATTTTCCATAATATTTCTATATACATAGCTTGTAAGAAGAAGAGTAAATTATTTTCCACAAAAAAATACATAGTTTATTCTCTCCTATCACTTAGGTATATAATATGCTATATTATAAGCAACTATATGGCTATTATTTCGAAGGACTTAACTTAGAGGATGGCTCTAAAGATCCATGTCTCAAACGTGAACAAATTCTTTACAATGGAATTTATTACACACCTGAATGGGCTGACTTTGGAATTGATGCCTATGACCTTGTGAAGGTAAGATAATTGTGTGTTCAGGTGATGACTATGTGTGACAAAATAGAAATATTTGAATGCAGACAGCAAAAAGATAGTTTTAAATGTCTTTTATCTAAAAATTTTCAGAGTATTAATTTATAATGCAAAACTAGTATCTGAGAAAATTATCAGTTTTCCTGACATACTGATGTGTTGTGTATCGGATGTCTAATATAAATCCCCCAAACTCCTGCTCCTATACCCACTGACCCTCAAATTGTAATTCTACTAAATGAAAATATAAAAAAACAAAAACCAAACCCACTGCTGTCTAGTTGTATCTGACTCATGGAGACCCCTCCTTGGGTTTCTGAGGCAGTATCACTACGGAAGTAGATTGCCCAACCTTCCTTCTGAGGAGTGGCTGGTGGGTTTGAACCACCAGCCTTCTTGTTAGCAGTCAAATGCCTTAGGCACTACACTACCAGAGCTCCCTAAATTAAAATATATAGATTTTAAATATTTGCAAGGAGAAATATTCTCCATAGTCCAATAAATAATGTCCAACACAAGTTAATGAATATATACATATGTGAAACAGTTGTTGTTGAGTCCACTCCAACTCAAGGCAACCCCATGTGTGTTAGAATAGACCTGTGCCCCATTGGTTTTCAGTGGCTGAATAGATCTCAGACTTTTCTTTGAAGGCACCTCTGGGTTGACTAGAAATTCCATTATTTAGGTTAGTAGCCAAACTCATTAACTTATTTATTTAATATACCTAAGGAGGGGTCGCTATGAGTCGGGGCCGACTTGATGGCACATAACAACAACAACAATAGTAAGATTGATTGAACATATGGTTTGTTTGTTTAATTTGGGTGAAAGTTTACATAGCAAATTGGTTTTCCATTCAACAATCCATACTCATTCTGTTCTGTGACTTTCTCTGCAATCCCCACATTGTAACAGCATTCTTCTCACTTCCTCCCTGTGCCTACCTCTTCCCTTTGCCCTTCCTTCCCATTTCCTCACACCTTCCTAGCTCTCTTCCTGGGCAAATGCTGTCAAATTCATTAACTGTTTACACTACACAGGGTTAGAGGAGTATAATATGAGGCATTATTTTTCCCCCTCTCATCTGAAGATTTTTATCAACAGCTGTAAATTAGGAAAAAGAAAATGTTATTAAATCAGAGAAACAAGGGGAATTGAAAACATGTCGGGGCTGCTGTTGTTAGGTGCTGTCGAGTTGGTTCTGAATCTACTTCCGTAGTGATACCACCTCGGAAACCCAAAGAGGATTTGCTATGAGTCAGATCTGACTCGATGGCAGTGAGTTTCTGGGTTTTTTGTTTGTGGTTGGTTTGTACAACAGAAGAAGCAGTGCCCAGTCCTGTGCCATCCTCACAGTAGCTGCTGTGCTTGAGTCCATTGTCGCAACTATTGTGTCAGTGTATCTTGTTGAGGGTCTTCCACTTTTTTGCTGACTCTCTACTTTACCAAACATAATGTCCTTCTCAGGAGCTCTGGTGGCATAGTGCCTAAGGCATTTGACTGCTAACCAGAAGGCTGGCGGTTCAAACCCACCAGCCACTCCTCAAAGGAATATTGGATAATCTACCTCCATAGAGATACTGCCTGGAAAACCCAAGGAGGGATCACTATGAGTTGAATCAACTCAACTGCAGTGAGTTAGGTCTGGTAATGTCCTTCTCCACTGACTGGTCCCTCCTGATAATATGTGCAAAGTACATGAGACAAAGTCTCACCATCCTCCCTTCTGAGGCACATTCTGGCTATACTTCTTCCTTGACAAATTTGTTTGTTCTTCTAGCAGTCAATGGTATATTCAATGTTCTTCACTAACATCATAATTCAAAGATATCAATTCTTCTTCATGATACTGAAAATACCATAGCTTGAGTCAGGCGCACCTTAGTCTTCAAAGTGACATTTTTGCTTTTCACCACTTTCAAGAAGTCTTTTGCAGCAAATTTGCCCAATGCAATATGTAATATGATTTATTTACTGTTATTTTTGTGGGTATTGATTGTGGTTCTAAGTAAAATGAAATCCTTGACATCAATACTTCAATTGAAAACATAGAATTTAGAAAATGGTGAGAAAATATCTCTAGATTTGTGATATTTAGAGATGGAAAAATAAGCAAGAGAAGGGAATGAAATATATAGAGAAAACAAAAAGTTTGTCTATATGGCTGCTCTATAATTTTGTGTGATTTAAAACTGATTTTTATCTTGAAAGGCAATAGGATTAAAGGTTTTTACCAACTCTCATTACCGGAAACCAGTGCTGTGCAAGAATTACATGTATCCTGACTATGATGTTAAACAAGGTTCAGGTGAGTCTTAGTATCATGTGAGGATCAGATAGCAATTTATAATCTCTTATCCCTAATGAAGTGAGTTGGGGATTTGGGGAGACAGCAGCGATTTCTTTAATTAAAAAAAAAAGTGACATTTCAAATGTTAGACAAATAGAGAGAATAAGGCAGATGAGTCTTCATATTCATTGAGTTTATATTAAAGTGGGAATGCAGATAATATGTAAGCAACATAATTTCACATGATAGAAAATATTCTGGTAGTTATTATTTATTGAATGGTTACTATGTGCCAAGCAATGTTCTAAACATTTTACATACATTAACCCATTTATTTTTCACAACCTATAGATTAGAAACAATTACCTCCAATTTACTGATAATGAAAGTGAAACATAGAGAAGTCAAGTAACTTGTCCAGTGAAACAGATAATAAATGGCAGCAATGTGACAGTAATCCAGCCATTCTGGTCCAAAAGTCCATGTTTTTTGTCATTATATTGTATTAAATCTCAAAGAAATACTACTGAGAAAGTAAAATAAGATAAAGGAAAAAGAAGATGCTATGAAAAGGTGATTGAAAGATCAGAAACCTGAAAGGTGTCAAAAACTATACAAAGAAATTTTTAGGAAAATTGAAAACTAGGCAAAAAATATGAAGACATAATACAAAGAAGGAGAGAGAGATTGGTAAAAATTATATAAAGAGATATTTAACCTCACTAGTAATCATAAAAGGAGCTCTGGTGGTGCTGTAGTTAAGGCATTGTGCTGCTAATCAAAAGGTTGGTGGTTCAAACCCATCAGTCGCTCTGTGGGAGAAAGGCAAGGCAGTCTGCCTCCATAAAGATTTACAGCTTTGGAAAACCTATGGGGTTTGTCATGACTCAGAATAAACTTAATAGCAGTAGATTTGGAATTTTTAGTAATCACAAAAAATTAAAAGAACAACAAAAAACCAGGTGACACATATAACAATGACAAAAAAGAAAGAAATATTAAATAATACTACTTATTTAAATGAAATATGCAATATTCCATATACATGAACTTATATACTATCAAACCAAAAACCAAATCCACTGCCATCAACTCAATTCCAATTCATAGCCACCCCCATTGGGTTTCCAAAGCTGTAAATCTTTACAGAAGTGGATTGTCCTATTTTCCTTCTGCAGAGCAGCTGGTGGATTTGAACCATGAACCTTCTGGTTGTCTTAAGTGCTGTGCCACAAGAACTCCTTTCATATACCACAGGGAGTATAAAATGGTATACCCATTTTATGAGATTTCATAGTACTTAAATTAAATATGCATATACCCTCTAGCATAACAATCAACCTCCTGAGCATGAAGACAAAAAACATTTTTACTAACGTCCACAAGAGAACACGGATGTTATGGGATATCCGGCTCATTGCTGTTTATTAATAGAGACAACCTAGGAGACCATTACTAGAATTGATTAAGTGATATGTTGATATGTAGTGGATACATACTATGGAATATTATGCAACACTAAGAAGCAACATAGGTAAATTAAAATGACAAAGTGGAAAAGTAAAAAACAGTAAGATCTAAACTACAATGTCCTTTATATGGTTTAAAATAGATAAACACACTAAAAAAATTATATATTTGTGAAGTATATAGACTTATTCAGGATAATACAAAATGTATTAGAGTGCTAGATGATGGAAGGGTGGGGTGCCTCAGGCAAAAGGGGGATACAATATTCTAATATATATATATATATATATATATATATATGTATGTATACTATACATAATATATAGGTTGAAATTAAAAAAGAAAAATCAGCATAAACCATAATCTGTATACAGATATAATATCTTCATTGATCTTAGCTTAAAACTAAGATTTTAGCACAAGCCAATATCAGAGATAAGTGGACAAGGTATACAATTAAAAGGTTACTAAAATCCCTGCTTTGTTTCCATATGTAAACTGATACACTACAGATATTATTAAAAATAGTTAAAGTTACAATTAAAGAAAAACAAATGGTGAAAAATTACATATGAAAATTTTCAACAAATTGTTTTTAGAAACTTAGTAATAAAAATTTCTTTAATTATATAATGATTTTCAAGCAAAAAAAATATAACAAATATCCAGCAAGCATGATTTTATTACTTTAATAACACTCTTTCATAGAAAAGTGCCTGCTATTCAAAGTGATATTCAAAATTGTAGTGGAGTTCTTAGGGAATATAATGAAGCAAGCAATGATAATAAAATATAAATTATTGGAAAGAAAGGAATAATATTATTACTTTTTATTACAGCATGATCTTATATTTTAAAAAAAGAGAATCAACAATCTATTATTATTAACAAGATAACACATTAAGGCTGTTAGATACAAGATGAACAAAAAAATAATTTTTACACCAATAACAATTAAATGATTAGAATTGTAATTAGAAATATATACCACATGCAATAGTAACAAAAACAATGTAATAGATGAGCCTAACCAAAATTATAAAAGAACTTTATGAAAAAATAAATAGAAGACTTTACTGATGACTGTAAGTGAAGAATAAGTGGTAATCTATACCTTGTACTGAATGGAGAGATATAGCATGATAAAGATGTAGCATTCCCCAAAAATTTTTCTAGACAGTCAATGAAATTCCTGAAAAAAAAAAAAAAAAAGAGCATGGAACTTGGAATCACTTTATAACATGCCTATGGAATTATAAAAGTTCAAAAAGAGCTAAGATTATTTTGAAAAAGAAGAAAAAATTATAAAGATTCCTCTAATGACTTTTAAGATACTTTTAAAAACTATAATAATTGAAGGCATATAGCCTTTCAAATCATTGAATGCAATTGATTATTCTTTCTGCACTGATTCCCATGACCCCCATGTCATTTACCAAGTTGTCATACATACAGTATGTACCTAAGGCATTTGACTGCTAACCAGAAAGTTGGCAGTTCAAAGCTCACCAGCCACTCCACGGAAGGAACACTGAGCAATCTGCTTTCGTAAAGATTTACCACCTTGGAAACCCAAAAGGAGCTCCTTATGAGTTGGAATCAACTTGATGGCAGTGAGTTTGGTTTTTTGGTTTAAGTAATGGGGTAGGATGGTACAAATTGATCAATTGAATGAAATAGAAATCCCAGATATAGTCCACTGTATGTGTGACAACTCGGGAAATGGCACGGGGGGACATAGGAATCACTGCAGAAAGAATAATCAATACATTAAATAATCAATTTACAAAGAATAATCAATTACTTTAAATTATTTGAATTTCAATGAAACACCAAAAATGGCAGTGTAGGGAACTCAAACTACCATCCATTCACAGAAACACCTAGAAACACAACAACAAATTGTCAAAATCAACTTTGTCAGAACTCTGGAAAGTAGTCAAAGATTTACAACAACCAAACAAGTGATGAATCAAAAAAAGGCGACTCAAATGTAGTTTTTAAGAAAATATCTATCAGACCACAAGTTGACCACAAGCTGAAAGAGAAAACTTCAGAGACCACATATGGTGGTGTGTGTGGGGGGGGGCAGGAGGAACAGCCATTAAATATAGTTTATAAAAGCCATTACACAAACAAACAACTATAACCAACAGCAAGCAACAACAGCAAATACTGAGGGGAAAATGATCTGATTTACAGAGTTTCCACATTATAATACTGAAAATGTCCAGTTTTCAACAACAAAAAAAAAGTATGTGGCATGCAAAGATATAGAAAAGTATGACCCATTCATAGACAAAAAAAAAAAAAAAAATTAACAGAAATTGTTTCTAAAAAGATACAGACATTGGACTTATTAGACAAAGACTTTAATTGAACTGCCTTAAATATACTCAAATTGCTAAGACCAACCAGGGACAAAGAAGAAAAGGAAACAAGAAGAACAATGTTTCAACAAATATAAAGTATCAATAATTAGACAAAAATTATTAGAGGGAAACAAATAGAAATTCTAAAGCTGTAAAGTAAAATAACTGACATGAAAAATTCACTAGACGGTTTTAACAGCAGGTTTAAGCAGGTAGAAGAAAGAATCAGTGAACTTGAGAATTGTCATTTTCCAGTCAAAGGAGCACAAAGCAAAAATAATGAAGAAAAATGAATAGAGCATCAAAGCCCTATGGGATACTATCAAAGGTACCAACACATATATAATCAGAATTCCAGAAGGAGAGGCAAGCAAAAGAGACAGACAGGACATTTGAAGAAATAATAGTCAAAAACTTCCTAGATTTGATAAAAGACATGAATCCACACATCCAAGAAGCTCAATGAACTCCAAGTAAGACAAATGTAACAATATCTACACAAAGACATATAATCAAATTGTCAAAGGATAAAGACAAAGAGAAGCTCTTGAAAGCAGCAAGAGAAAAGCAACTCATCATGTATAAGGGATCTTCATTAAGATTAATTACCAATTTCTCATCAGAAACCCTGGCAAACAGCAATGCAATGACATTCAAATTGCTACAGGAAAAAAAATAAATAAATAAACTGTGAACAAAGAATTCTTCATCAGGCAAAATCATCCTTCAAAAATGAAGGCACAAATAAGATAAATAAAAACTGAGAGAGTTTGTCACTAGTGACTTTTCATTCAAGAAAAATTAAAGGGAGTCAGGTTGAAATAAAAGAACACTACATAGTACCTGGAAATTATATGGAGGAATATAGAACACTGGTAACGCTAACTGCAATGGTAAGTATAAAAGACAGAATTATTGTGGATTTGGTTTAAAATTCTTGTATTCCTTTATGATTTAAAAGGCAAATGCATGAAACAATAATTACATATCCATATTAATGGACATACAATGTATAAAGAAGTAATTTATAACACTAACAGTGTAAATGGGGAAGGACAAAACTTTATAGAAGTAGTTTTTTATTCTATTGAAGCTGAGTCAATATTAATTCAAACTAGATTGTTAAAAGTTTAGCATGTTAATTTTAGCCCTAATGGTAACCACTAAGAAAATAACTAAAAACTACACAGAAAATGAAATGGGAAGGAAATCAACTGTCACACTACAAAATATTTTAAAATAATAACCTGAGAAAGATCATGCACTATAGCAGAAATTAAACTTGAAAATTTGCCTATCAAGAGAGGTATAATCAAAACCAAACCAAACCCACTGCCATCGAGTTGATTCTGCCTCACAGTGACGCACATTGGGTTTCCAAGGCAGTGAATGTTTACAGATGTGGATTGCCCCATCTTCCTTCCATGGAGCGTCTGGTGAGTTTGAACCACCAACCTGCTGGTTAGCAGTCAAATGCCTTAGGCACTGGCCAACAGAACGCCTATATATAACTAAAATTCCATGCAGAAATAGTTAGGAGTACCAAAAACAAATGAAAATTAATGAAACAGATATATTTGATCAATGTAATATAGCTGAAAAACACTGTGATAAGATGGAAAAACTCATGTTGCTGAATAATAAATATGCTATCATTTTCAAAATTAAAAGAGTATTCAAAACACTGCCTTATGTTTTCTATGGATACATGGAAGAGCATGTGCCAGTAGAGGTGTGACAAATTGGGACTGGTGGCAGATTTTAATTGTATTTTGTGTTTTAATTGCATTATAACATGATGCATTCCCATATTACTAGTATAAGGTATTTACAAGTACAATATAGCAGAGTATCGGTGATAGATGACACACTGGATGAATAATTAATACTCCTAACTTTTTAATAAACATTTGTAAATTATTCATAGATTATTCATTAGAGGTAGGATCTTCAAACTTTGTTAAAGATTATTGTAAATATTAAGTGAGCTAAGTGTGTAAAAAAGCATTTTCAATAGTGACTTAGACATAGAAATATAATTATTATTATTAAGCCTTGTCCTCAAAACAAGTTTATTTGCTAAGAAGTTAAATTTGACTTTTAAATAGCTTACTTTTGATATTGTGTTTTGTCATCCTCTAGGAACAGCTACAGCTTCGAATCATATTATTGAGGGTAACACAGGTTTTATATCTTATACTGAAACTCTGAGGACATCATTTCCTGAGACTTGGATTTGGGATCTTATCACCACTGAGTGAGTTTTATTGCTATTATTATTGTGGTTTATGTACATTTAATTACTTTTTCCTTTTTATCTAAACAAGTGAGGCATGATATCCATAAATATTTTTCAGTCTTATCAAAATAAATGTGTCTAAAAGCCTGAAAATCAGGACAGTGTGTCAACAATTCTGCAAAATCTCAAATAAATTTCTAAATCCTCTTTTCATTTTCTCCATTCTTTAATATTCCTTTTATTTATTTTTCTTACTGTCATTTGTTTTTTTGTGAGAATCTGATTTTTTTTTGTATTGCAGACCATGAAACAGACTGAAATTTTGTTTTCTATCATATGACATAATGAACATAATACTCAATAAATACATATGGATATGAGTGAGAAAGGGGAGGAGATGAAATGAAATGTAGTAGAAGAAGGAAGAAATAATGGAAAGTAGGAAAAAAATAGGAAGGAAGAGAAATAATAAGTTTCTATGTCGGTGCCATAATAAATTCAAGTATAGACTAATGTAAATACTTTAAATTTGAAAAACATATTACACTGCAAGGGTTACTAAACTTGTCAGTGAAGTTGGCTAAATATGGCAAACATCATTTATAATTAAACTTATCAGTTACTAGCAGCCATGAAGTCAGCTACAACTGATGGTGGCCCATGTGTGTAACACAACGGTGCTCCCTGGGTTTTTCAATGGCTGATTTTTTGGAAGTAGGTCACCAGGCCTTTCTCTCAAGATATCTCTGGGTAAAGATGAGCCTCCAACCTTTCAGATAGAACTGAGCTTATTAATCATTTGTACCACCGAACCCAAAACCAAACCAAACCCACTGCCATCGAGTCAGATCCCACTCATACCAACCCCTCCTTGGGTTTCCAAGGCAGTATCACTACAGAAGCAGATTGCCCAACCTTCCTTCCAAGGATTGGCCAGTGGATTTGAACCACCAGCCTTCTGGTTAGCAGTTAAATGCCTTAGGCACTATGCCACCAGAGCTCCTCCAAATTAAACTAGTTGAGAATTTATGTATCTCACATAAATAAGTCATTAATTCATGTATCCTAATTATTCCAACATTTCTAAAATTTTGAGGTTAACAACCACTCACAGTCTATCAATAATGAACAAGCCATATACACAGATAAAAGTTTATTTGTGAGTATTTATAAATATGAGATTAATGTCAAATATTTCAATGATTTATACTTTGGTAGGGATTATGAAAAATGAAACCTTCAATTAAGATTTAAAATAGAGTGAAAAGAGCTCAGAATTAAAAGGCAGGGTACAAACTAAAGTATGTCTAAAGTAAGGAAGTTAGAATACTGAACAGACTTTCACATAAGGAAAAAAAGGAGCTTCTTTTAGATAAGGTAAAAAGGAGCTCTGGTGGCATAACAGTTAAGCACTTGTCTGCCAAGCAAAAGTTTGGTGGTTTAATACAACCAGCAACTGCACACGAAAAAGCCTGGCAATCGGTTTCCATAAAGATTACATCCAAGAGAACCTATAGGGTCACTCTACTCTGTCACTTGGGGTCGCTAAGAGTTGAAGTGACTCAATAGCACCAACCAACAACAGAGATAAGGAATAACAAGAAGCTGAACAGAGGAAGAATAGGAAAAACAAAGAGAATTTGACTATTGTAGTTTGTGAAAGGGAGCTCTGGTAGCATACTGCCTAAGGCATTTGACTGGTAACCAGAAGGCTGGTGGTTCAAACCCACCAGCCATTCCTTGAAAGGAAGATGGGGCAAACTACTTCCATAGTGATACTGCCTCGGAAACCCAAGGAGGGGTCACTATGAGTTGGAGACAACTCAATGGCAGTGAGTTTGGTTGTTTTTTTTTTTTTTTTTTGAGTTTGTAGAAGAGTATCAAACAGTGAAAGGAAGGGATATAAAGCTTTGAGTAAATGCAATGATCCAATTACATATTATATGATGACAGTGCCAATGTTATCTGTATCTTCCCATTTAGCTCCACAGGGAAAGCCAGTCTTCCTCTTACTGTTCCTGATACCATTACACAATGGAAAGCCAATGGATTCTGCCTAGATGATAAAACTGGATTTGGCATTTCCCCAACCATCTCCCTGACAGCTTTTCAGCCCTTCTTTGTGGAACTCACTCTCCCCTATTCAGTTGTTCGAGGAGAAGCATTCACTCTGAAAGCCAATGTCTTCAACTACCTGAATGCATGTGTTCAGGTATTGCCTTGAGTATTCTCAGTAAATAGCAATTTCTTTCCATGCAAATTATCTTCAAATATGAGATGTATGATGATATGGAACTTTGTAAGTATTTCATCTGTTCTAAGTTTGTTTTGAAAACATTAATTAGTTTTACCATCTAGTTGGGGTTTAGAAATATAAATTAGTATATCTAAGTGACTGGATGAACATAAAAGAACTGAAGATAAAGTTTATAATGAAAGGAAATTATCTTTTTCCTTTGTGTGTGCGGATGAATGATTGAATGGAAAAAATGCCTAATACCTTCAGTTCTTCCACATATCCAAAGACCCTCCTGAAACAGAGGGCTTTATGATATAATTAAGCTGGGAATATGCAGAATGTATGATATCCTAGTTGTTTCATGGGTTCTTCATGGGTTATGGCTGTGAAAAGCAGCAATTTCATAGCAGATGAAGCATTGAAATTATTACATTAATTTCTAGCTCTGTTGCTTTGAACAAGATACTTAACCTGT